TTGTTCAACAACAGAATTTGCGCTTTTAGTACGTTTTGGAATTAATAGATTATCTGTCTTATTATGCAACTAAGGATGTACGTGTCTACGTAATAGTGCATCAGCATCTCTCTCAATATATCGTATTGTACTGAACACGTTGACACACGAGAATCAGCAACCAAAGCCGTGTATACGCTTCATTAAATAAACTAACCAAAAAATATGCTCTATTACTTAGTTACGTACATCCTCAGTTACATAATAGGACCGATAATCAATTAATTACATAATGTTGTAAATATCACAAATTCTATTGTCGACCGATCCGGATTAAGTGGATAGGTAATAAACTTCTCATTTTTCTCCCGTATTTTATAGTCTTTTCTCTTTCAGTATATCGTATTGTACTGAACAAACGTTGACTTTATTCTTCATACACACGACAATCGGCATACAAAGCCGTACGTTGTACGTTTTATTAAATAAATTAACCTTTTTGTTTATTTATTGGTTCGTTTATGCTTTATTTAATGATTGATATTATTTTGTCAAGTTATACCACCAAGTGCTATAAACTAGTACAAAATTAAAAAACTTAATTTTAAGTAAAGTTCTTTGAAATATATCTGTATTACTATTATGAATGAAAACTCTTATCCATTTTTAATTTGGAATTATATTAATTGCCATGTGTCATGTTTTTATTATTATTGTCAATTTTCTGCGGATAGCTGATAAATTAATCTATTGTCAATTCAATATGATTATATTATGATGTTCAAATACCATTTTGTTATTCATAAAAACGGCCTTTTTATTACTTCTCTGTCATACTGATCCATCAATAAATATTTCTTACGTGTTGCAGCAGACCAGCAAAATTTATTAATTTTATGGTCCTTTATATTTACTCATCCCTGATTCCATCCAATTATGGCCGCTGATGAAGCGGGAGGTAGACGTTCGCTTTCGGTCATAGGCGTACTGAAAACTAAAATTTCTTATCCTCGTATTCAGAATTATAAATAGCAATAAAAAGGATAAAGATAAGTAAAACTTTATACTGATAAGTTTGCTGTACCAATATTAAAAAAATTGGTAGTAGGAAATATTATTTCATAATATTATGACATGATAATGTTATAATGTAATACTATAAAGTAAAGTAAAAGATTTGAAGTTAACATCTCCTTTTTGCTGCCAGGGCTAATTTGGACGGGGCCTACTTTGTTTACGCGGAATCCGAACAGCGGTCCTCGGTCAATGACCGAGCAAGTGTCTAAATCGACTCTTACTCACGAGATATCCGATCTCATCCGGCCTTGAACCGGCGTGAATGAGCAGTGTGTGTCAAAATATTTTACACTTTTGCCTTTATTGGACAACAGCACGATACAGAGTTTCGAACTGGTCACCCGTCTATCCACTAGTATCGCCTTACGTCGCTTAACTTCGGTGTTCTAATGGGAACCGGTGTTTCGACGTAGCTGGACCGTTGGTTGCCCGTAATACTATAGCTACAACCGTTATAACACTAGTTATACCACCCCGCATAAATTCAGTATTATTATAAATAAGTAATTTATTTCACACCCCTTAAAGTGTAGCACAATTAGAATCATAAAAACGATGCCACTTAAAGTTACATAATGTTTATAATGTTAATTTTAAAGGTCGTTTTACATAAAAATTGTTTATCTGTTTTTATTTATGATACAAAACCCGCTTGATCATAAAACTTTTTGATCATGTCGATGAGTTTTTTTTATATTGAGTATGTATGGGGCTTAAGAAGCAGCGTGGTGAAGGCGTTGTACCACTGTTTGCATCTTAAACATTGTCAGCTGTCATAAAAAGATTATTATTAAAATTCTAATAAATTAAATCTTACAGAATTCATAAGCAAAACTTTTAAACTAAAATTGGCTGTAATACTAAATCTAAATGAAAATAAAATATTAGTACGCCTATGACTCAAGAGTTTGGTTTGGTTTGGTGGCGACACGTGCGAAGAGATATGCATGGCTTCCACATTTCGAGAGGCGGGGTGAGACAAATCAAGTGGTGGGAGAGAATATGGCCGTAGATGCCAGGTCTAGGAAATATTCCCTAACATTAAGGTTTCTATCCAGGAAATACCTTTTAGAAAGCATATTTTTGGACACAATTTAGTGTGTGTATTTAATTTGTTTTCTCAAACTTGGCATTTCTAAAAGTATCATCAGATAAATATTTTAAAACAATATTTTTGTTGGTTGATTGACCGTGCCAACCAGGCTTCAGGAAATTTTCAAAACTTCATCTGGCAACACTGACAGTATCGAAGTCCTAGAACGGTAGACAGAAATCAAATCAGTCGGATTTTGAAAGGGGTTGGGTGTACATCATTCTACAATATATTTACGATTTTGAAGGTTATCCATACATCTCGAGACGTTTAATCTTTTAACAATAAAAATAATTAAACGTCCGGTTGTATCTATACTGCTCATGTTTTTGTTGCTGTTTCAGCATAAGTTAAAACAAGCATTAAAAAAATGACTAAAAATCAACTTTAAAAAAGGACAATTAGCAAAATAATTATAAAAAATTAAATCAAAGGTTCAAAAATACCTCCCTGTTGTGCTTCGCAATAGCCAAGACGGTTATAAAACTCTGACCTAACTTTAGCTAACATAACAGCGGGGATATTTTCTAACGACTGAACGATTTTTAATCGCAGCTCGTCAATATTCATGGGTCGTTCATGGTTATGGCCATAAATGGAGTTTTTTACATATCCCCACAGAAAGAAGTCATTGGGCGACAAATCAGGAGAACGTGGTGGCCAATTAATTGTGCCTTGTGTGGAAATTAGCCGATTGGGAAATGTGGTTTGAAGGAACAGATTTACGTTCCGCGCGTTATGCGCAGGACAGCCATCCTGCTGAAACCACACTTCCTCAAAATTGATTGGCAAATTTCGAACTGCTGGTACAATTTGGTTTTGTAGCATATCCAAATATTTGGCAGCTGTTAACATACCATCAATAAAAAAAGGCCCAATGATATGATTTTGCAGCATGCCAGCCCAAACATTTAGTTTTTGTGGATATTGTGTCCGCAGTGCCATACTAAGGTGCTTATTTTCTCGAGACCAATAACGTACTATCGAAGGATTGTGGTAGCCATGTAAGGGAAACGAGCTTTCATCTGAGAATAATATATTTTCCAAAAATAAATTATTCCGTCGGCTCTTTCTCTTACAGCCTCGCAAAACTCCAGACGTCTGTTACAATCTGCGGGAAAAATTTCTTGCGTGGTACTGATTTTGTAGGACTTATATCCATGCCTTTTTAAAACTCTGCGCACCGTTCGAGCATTGCAACCAACTTGTTCGGCTATATTTCGGCTTGAACAAGGTTCGCTTGTTTCGACAGCGGCACAAATATTAATTTCCTTGTCGGGAATTACCTTCTCTGCGCCTTCCTTATTGTCACAATTTCTGCACGCCGCAATGCAGCCTGTTTGCTCAAATTTATGAACAATGTTGCGTACAGTTGTGGCATAAGGCACAGGGCGATCTTGAAAGGTGAACACATAACGCCCAATGACCTCTTCCACACTTGAGGAAATGTAAAACCATTTAACGATATGCACCTTCTCTTCGGTCGTATAAATAGCCATTTTTGAAACACTTAACGTACACACCGAAACAGCTAGGCGAAAAGAATGATGCAAAAATAGTTTGGATCTCAGGTGATCTATTTCCTTTCCCCACCTTTTCATCTACATAAAGGTGCGTATTCACTATCCGAACGAACGAATGCTACTATCCAACGAGCGAACGTCCAGTCTTGTTCGCGCGGTTCTATAATTCTCATTCGTTTGCGAACGTCTTTGATATACCGAATGGAAACAGATGAGGGAGCGAACCGAATGGCGAACGGCCGCATGCATTCGGTTTGCTGTCCAAATATACCGAATTTCATTCCTTTGTTCTTTCGGATAGTGAATACGAACCTTAACATAAAGCACCGCCCCTCTCAATGCGTTCTCCCACCATGCTTATGCTTTACTTGCCCACACCCGTAAAACCGGCAACACTGTATCGGTCGCACCGGCTTCTCGCCGGCCCCTTTTGATGCTGTCTCTCTGTCTGTCAACCGGTCATTTATATTATTCTCTGTCTTACACGTTAAAATCCTATACACAGTAATCAAATGACCAGGTCGTATATATATATATATATATATATATATATATATATATATATATATATATATATATATATATATATATATATATATATATATATATATATATATATATATATATAGAAACTCAGCTGGCAAAGGAGTACGATAGCCAGCTGAGTTTCTATATAACGGTTGTCAATATCTTGTTTTGCTTGGCCTTCTTTTATTGCCTTAGGATATATTGAGTCCAAAGCCATGTCAAAGTCTATAAAGGCTAGCTATAGAGTTTCTCTAGCCCATGTATGTGATCAATCGTGCTGAAGCCGCATGTGTAATGTAAATAATATGTTTATAGTTTGTTCGTTTTTTTTTACTACGTAACAAAACCAACGTGTGATAAAAAAATGCCGTCAGCAATAGCTATGTAATAAAGATCGCTGTCATTTTATCACTATGTAAACTGTTATCAAATTTACACTTGATAAAGGTCAGTGATCCTTCTGATCTAAAAGTTCTGTTAATCAAAAAAAAAATAAAATAAAGACAATAGAAGTCCGAAATTATTTTACTTTCAATACTGAATCATTGTCTACCACATTCAAATTAACATTGAATTATATTGTATATTATAATCGTGTGTGATTTTCATCAATATAATTTTTTAATAAATAAGTGGCATTTCTCGGTTTTCTCCAAGTTTGAATATCTTAGGTCTGTCTATTTATATTATTTGTTTTAGAGACAAACTCGTTGCACAATTTTATTATATTATCGTAGATAAAACCAAATACTTAGCTGCAATTATAATAAATTTTACAACAGCCTCTCTTTTTTTTTCAGAGTTCAGGACATAGACGGTTCATATTTTGAGAGTTTCACCGCTCTGGCGTGGAAGCAAGAAAACCAGCGACAGAGTGTACTCAGAAACGCAGAAGCGGTTGCTTCTGAGGCTCCTCCTCCTGAACAAGATTTAGGCATCAATCCTCTGGATTATTCCTCTTCACAAAATGAAAAGGACAAGCTCTACGTCGAAATGCTCTACACGATTGCAAATACGGTAAAAATTTATTTTAGACGTTATTAATTTTCTTTTCTTCCTATTTTCTTTTGACATCTCTGTTATGGTGGACACTTAGGTAGTAGGAAGTAATATATAAACTAAATAAAAAAATCGTAGCAGCGGCTAGCATCCGGATATTCATTGCCACCGTAACCAAATTATTAAATAAATCCAAAAATAATATTTTTAAATATAAATAAATCTTAAAACACAATAAATCTGATCCTTATAAAAAAGATCCCCTCTGTCGGTGTTCTTTATTTTTTAAACTTCCACATTTTTATACCATTGTAGTGTAACAACCCAGGGTCTTCAACAAAGTTGAAGAGGTAATATTTTGGTTATTTGTATGACAAACAATTTAAATGAAAGAAAGCAACCTTCGTTGTGTTAAATGTATTTTTTATAGTGATTACCTCGGATGCGCTTCGACAGAAGCAATATTTTGGGAAATTTGATGAGAATAGGTTATGTAAATAAAACGCTAATTTCTTAAATAGCCCTACTTATTTTATTAAATGAAATGAATGGAGTGCCGTACTCTGCCTGGAATTCACGAGTAAAAGACCACGGCAGCAAAAGACCTTGTTGCGGAGATCGACGCTCAAGTTGAAGGTTTGGTGCAAATATCTTTAGATTATTAGTTACTCTATTTATTGTTTCTGGTTGCCCTTTTGCGAGCTAAGATATTCGCCCATGCTTGGTTGAAAAATGTTAGTACATTCAATAAGGCCCTTATTCTCTGTACCACAAACATCGGCATGAAGGAACAATAAACGATTTTATTTAGATTACTTTTAAACTGATTTTTTTTACAGCATAAATTGATTCCATTAAATACATACACATGTTATATATTAGCTTTGTCAGATCAAATAAATAAGGAAATCTTTAGCTCAGAATTACAACAGGAGAACAAAATAATATGATTTAGTTAACATTAGTTAAATAAAACATTTACTTTAATTGCCTTTAATAATTTAATTGCCTTTAATAACGTTTTTGGTCACAAAACATATAAATAAAATAACATCAATGCGTCACGAATGGTAGTCTAAAAGCTATTATATTACAACAATTATCTCTGTTCGTCGCCTGATTTTCCTCTCCCTAGTTTGCGAATAATATTTTAAAAATCAATAATTTTATTTATGTAGAATGTAGAATGAATGAGAAGGCGAATCACGGCGACCTTAAAGATGTATTGTGTACCCCCCTTACTTGAGTCATCTATAACCCATCATACCTCTGTTGTAGAGGGGACAAGGTATTCCCCATCCTCCTCTGACAACAGTTCTTCCTCCGAGGGTACACACCCTTCCACGGTTGGAGTTTTGCCCTCCGTGCTGCTCTTCACAGTCGAGGAGTTTGCCTCCGGCTGAGGAACCCGTGAGGTGTAGGCTGGAGGATCTGTCTTCATTTTCTCCACCTCTTTAACTTGGTCTCTCCTTAGACCTGATACCGGTGTTGTCCCGTATCTATAATAGAGGATATGTCCCTCTTTCTCTATTGCCTCCTTGGATTTGAGGTCAATTCCTATTTTGAGTACCTGACCATGACCCTCCTCCCTCGAGTTGATGACTCCCCAACTCGATGTCCTTACATTGAAGTTCTGACCTTGGATAAGGCTCAGCAGGTAGGTGGTGTCTTTCCCCTTGCTCCTCGCCAGAAAGACCGTTATGGAGTTTAGCCCCTTTAGGGATGTTTTCTCCCTTCACTGCAACCAGTTCCGGCCCTTGCCAATTTTTAAGCTTAGGTGCGATTTCCACCAACCAATTCGCCGATTCTTGAGATACACAATCTATGAGGATTATGCTCACCCGAAAGTGTATCCCCGCAAAACGCAGCTGACCCACATTTTGTAGATCGTTGTGTTGCGATCCGATCACCACTACTTCGTCCAATATAGCCTCTTCTAGAGACGCTTGCTGGTCGGTGGTCAGAGCAACCTCTGGGAAATCCTTTGGCAGCACCGCTATTTTCACTTGTCCAGCAATAGCGGCAAAGCTGGCGATACGTCCCTGCTGGCCTCCCGGTGTTGGACGGCTTTCCATCCTGGCTTTTTTCTCTCCCGGCCGGAGAAGAGGTGAGAGGTTCTCGCTAACTCTCTTGCACTTTGATGGACATGAGTCAGGTTGTTTCTTGGTTTCTTTACTCTCCCCTTTTCGGAGGAGTGTTTTCGCTTTTGCTTTCTCTGGCGCAAGTCCTTCGTGGAGCAGTCGGGAGTTTCTTCGCGCTTCTGCTCCGCTAAAACCTACTCTCAGAGGATCATCTAGCCCGCCTGGTTGACTCAGGCAGGGTAGACGAAACGGTAGCTTATGTCGCTTATTTGGTCTAGAGGTAGGCTCCCGACCCTTGCTGGAGAAGGTGGTAGCTTGTGTGACACTTGTGGAGGATGATCCCAAGCAAGTGTCAGCCGCCCCTCCTGTAGTTTTCTTTGGATTTGGTTCCTTGGAACTTTCAGTTGTAATGTTCCCAGTGTCGCTAGGGGGCTTCCCGACAGCTTCACCGATGGTGTTTTTAATACTGAATCTCATAATGTTCCCACGAGTCGCTAGGGATAGTCGGTCCACTTCTACAGAGCCCCGCATGCAGAAGTAAGGGGTAAATACAATGGGGTACCCTTAGTGCCCCAAGGTTGACGCCAGTAATGGCTAGTCCTCTATCTAGCCACGCATCCCTTTGACCTGGTCCCGCCATCGTATGATTTAGGTTTTTGGTGAGGTTGTCTCTTCTTGGTTCAGGCGGTTGAGCCAAGACACCCCCCCCCCCACCTTCTACCCGCGAGACATGACCACAGTCAGTAAAGGGTGCCTGGTATGACAGACAGGGGTAGCCCCGTCCGGCATCGTTTTATGTCTTAGTGCAATTCCCTGGCCACGACACTACAGCCAGGGACAAGATAATGAGATGCTTCTTAGACCGAACCAAAGTGCTTTGGCTCGGTCGGAGATTCCTCCAGCGCCGGACAAGGAGCTTCCCCACCAACGACAAGGTCTTGCATCTCCTAGGGGAAGTATTTATGTATACAGAGTGTCTTAAAAATTAATGTTTTGAATTTAAAGAAATATATCAATTTTTAAATATGCAGTTTATCTCACCATCTAGCGTCGCTTAACTTTGGTGTTTCGATGTAACTGGTAAACAATTCTATAAAATAGTTAAAAATCTGGTTAAGGATGAAGTATCGTTGTAAAAGTAAAAAAAAAGTAAACGTAAAATATCGTTGTGTTCATTGTAATTCACCAAAGTCAGTTTTCCTATTAAACATAATTGAATTTCAAAGAGAAATTTAAAATTAATTGGTATTAAAAATTGTATAAAAATTTTAACGTTTATTGCGGCATTTTTAGAAGCCAGAAGAAATATTAAGAAAATAAGACTTTATTCATTATAGAGAGATTCAGAAAGCAACTCTAATTAAATTGGTACAAAAATAGAAGGGATTATTAGTATTAATTTTCTTAATGCGATGAAGTCCATAATTATATTTAGAACCAGAAAAAGTATATTTATTCTTCACAAAATAAAGTTTTTTTCAAACCAGCGACACGAGCAGAAAATTTTAATAAACAAGAGGTTGGGAGTTTTATTATTTTGTAAACGCTAAAAATACGACTTTTTCTTTAGGCTTTTGTTCGGGAAAATATTTGAAAAGCGATGAAATGAGTGTAAAAGAGATAAAAAAATCAACACGTGGAAGTTTAAAAAAGAAAAACGAACTTTTTCACTGATAATGCGTATCATTGGTTTGTTTCGTAATAGAAAGGAAAATACAAATTTTAGATGAAAAGTAATATAAATACATATAAATAATAAAAATACAAATTTAGTTTTTTTTCTATAAGAACATCTAAAATATAATATGTATCTAATTTTATATGTATATTCAGTAGGTTTGAGAATAGGTTGTTACCTATTTTTTATACCCCTAAGTGATAAGCGTGGCCCACCCCATTTTTTATTCTTTGGACAGACTTTTTTATTTTAATTTTTTATGATTTGGTTTTAAAAAATACATACAATCCTAAATTTTCACCCTTCTACCATCAACCTCTATTTTTAATAAGGGTTGATTTTTTATTTTTTGTTAACATATGCCTCCAAAGCGGCTTAACCGGGTTTGAAGAAATTTTATATGTATATTTAGTAGGTCTGAGAAAAAGGGAGTTTTCAATATTTTTATAACCCTAAGTGATAAGGGTGGTTCACCTCAGCTTTTTTTATTTTGTGAACAAACATTTTTATTTTTTTATTTGGAATTAAAAATACATACAACCCTAAAAGCGATATTAATAATTCAATAATTTTAATTTACAAATTGTTTTTAAAAATTGTTAGAATACCTTAAATTAAAAATGTGGGTATGATGTGTATATACCGGGTAATCATGGTATTTACCTAAATTCAATATACTATTTACTATTTATTGATCTTTTGGGTATATACCGGTTGCAAAAACTAAGTATTTTGCAGCGTTTAGTTGAGATGATGCGGACGGCGCGGCATCGGCATCATCAAAAATCATTAAAAGTTTGGGTTCTTAGATCGACTCAGTTTTAAATAAGTCCCTTGGATTCACAATCCCAAGTTAATATCAGGGGGTTATAGACAAGTTGGGGTTGGAAAGTTTGGTGTTGACCAAAAACTTTAACTAAAAAGTTTGTTTAACCAAAAACTAAAAAAAATCTAAAAAACTTTCCAAAAAATTCTATTTTTTTTTCGCGAAAAAAACTTATAATCGTGTTTCTGAAGTCGAAATAAGTAGAGGTAGAAGGCCGATTCTGCATCAGGAGCAGGAGCAGAGCGCACGGCGCATGCGCGAGGAGTGGGGGTACAGCGCAGGCGCGAGGAGGAGGCGCACGGCGCAGGCGCGAGGAGGAGGGGAGCTGTCAAATGTCAAACGTCATATGTCAAACGTCAAACGTCAAACTTGTCATCTGTCAAACGTCAAACGTCATATGTCAAACGTCAAACTTGTCTTACGTCATCTGTCAAACGTAAGCCCTATTACCCCTAAAATATTTGCATTTCTCACCCTGTGTAAATATCACAACACACCAAATCACTTAATTATTTCTTAAAAATCTCTTTGGTTTTAGGTTGGCGCGCCTGCTCCTGGTGGTCAATACGCACACTACAAGGAAGATTTATACTTATATGGACAAAGGGCATTTGGTATGCCCCCCGACAGACATTACAGAATGCTGCACGTTGCTGGAGAGGAGCAACCACCCATCGTCGTACTTAGCGTTATAGTAATAGAAGCTGAAGGCTTGGAAGCAAAAGATGCAAACGGTACGTAAATGTGTTCCATTATTACAAATATTACAATAACACTTAGAAAATATTGGCTAAAAAATATTACTGCAATATGTCATAATGTAATGTACAGGGTGGCTCGAATTCGACGCTCATCATTGAGATTTCGGAAACCGTAAGAGATACAGGATCGGCTAAATGGAGGCAAAGTTGCACAATTTGATGCTCAATAAAATGCCGTATTGCATTTTGAAAAATTCCGAATACTTCCGAATGTATTCGAAAAAAAACGGAATTTTCTATTTTATTTTCTATTGTTTCCTGGCTTTATTTGTTAAGATAACTTAAAATGAAAAACACATTTTTATAGCCACTGCTCTATAACTCTGTGTGATTAAATATTGACTCTGACGTTTCGGCTTCTGGGGACCATCATCAACTTAATTTTTTTAAATACGGACCTGATTGTTTTTTCAATTTAATTAAATCCTTTCATCACTCTTAAAACACTATATATAGTCACTTTGATATTTGCCGACGGCTCGTACAGACAATTCCATCACCAGAATATTTTATGTAAAAAAAATTAAAATGCAATTCGGCATTTTATTGAGCATCAAATTGCGCAACTTTGCCTCCATTTAGCCGATCCTGTATCTCTTACGGTTTCCGAAGTCCCAATGATGAACGTCGAATTCGAGCCACCCTGTACAGAATGTTCAATTTTTACTATTTTTGGCGGATTTTTTCGATATCATCATCATTTTCAGTTTATTCAACCATTTCCAATTATGGTATAGCTTCCCTCACACTTTCTTTGTAATTGGGACCATTGTTGTCTATTGTTATATATGCGGGCCCAAGTTATCCCTACTATATATATAAATTCGGGTCAGAACGTCCTACGACGTTGTCCGATGCCTAACTTCCACCCTGTGCTATTTTCCCATTGATCTTCGGTCAGATTTTTCCCGCTCATCGACCTTCTTATTCCTTCCATCCATGTTTTCTTGGGACGTCCTCTCTTTCGTTTACCAGGTGGTATCCAATGAATGACTTGTTTTGGAATTCTTTCATTGTGCATTCTCTGAACGTGGCCGGACCATATTAATTGTTTTTGTTCTATATCATTACTATTGTTCCCTCTATTCCCATCCGTTGTCTAATGTCTTCATTTCTGATCTTATCCCTCCGTGAAATTCTCATTGCTCTTCTAATCGCGTCCATTTCTGTTGTCTCTAATTTCCTTTTATTCCTTTCAGTGAGTCGCCATGTTTCACATCCATAGAGTCATATGCTTTTGACTAGTGTCTCGTATATATTATATTCCTGTTTTTTGTAATTTCAGTGCTCCATAGAATGCCATTTATGCATCTGATAACTCTTCGTGCCTGTATTACTCTGTTGTTTATTTCTCTATCGTCCGTTCCATCTCCTGTAAATATCGATCCCAGGTACCTGTAATTTTCACATGCCCTAATTTCCATATTATTGTCTAAAATAAGATTTTCTGTATTAGCTCCAATTGGAAGGTATTTTGTTTTTTCTGTATTTACTGTGAGACCCCATTTAGCATATTCTTCAATTATTTTCCGCACCATATATTCCATGTCATCTTTGTCATTTGCAATTATGGCCTGGTCGTCTGCAAATTGCAAGGTGTATAGGCATATGTCATTTAGTTCTATACGCATTCCGTTACATTTTCTTAACCATAGATGTAAGGCCTTGGCAATATAAATTTTAAATAGTGTTGGGGATATACAACAACCCTGTCGGAGCCCTTTAGTGATAGAAATTTCCTCTGAGAGACCGTTGACCGTTTTTATTTGTGATTTTCCTCCATGGTAAAGATTTTGTACAGCTTTTATCAGAGCTGGCGTTAATTCTTGATTAGTGCAATACTTCCCATAATTTTATTATTGGCACTGTATCATATGCTTTTTGTAGATCGATGAATGTTATATGAACTTCCTGGTTCATTGCAGATTTCTTCTCGATGATCTGTTTCAATGCAAAGATATTATCTGTACATGATCTTCCGCTTCTGAAACCATTCTGCTCTTCTTCTTCGTAGCTGGAGTATTCCTCTTCAATTAAGTTCCTCAGTATCCTTCCATAAAGGCGACTCATAGTGCCGGTGACCGGAATTCCCCTGTAGTTATTGGGATCCTTCTTTGAGCCCTTTTTATATATAGAGGAGATGTATGCTTTTTTCCACTGTTCAGGTACTGGATGACCATTTAAGGACTGGTTAACTATGTTTGTTAACATTCTAAACATTTTTTTGCTTCCCTACTAATCTCCCTACTAACCTTCACTCACCTTCCCTTGTTATCCCTACTAATTTCCCTAATATCATGGTCCCTTCTCAGGTTCGGTCTTCTTCTGTGTTTCTTAATTCCTCGTGGGTCTCATGCTGTAATTTATGTGGTCCATTTGTTGTCCGTTCTTCTTACCAGGTCTCCTGCCCATTGCCATTTGAAGGATTTGAATGTGTGGATGTCATCTATTACCTGGGTCTTTTGCCGTATTCACTCCTATTCTTTTACGGTCTCTTAGTTATTTCCAGTATATTTCGTTCCATTGAGCGTTGTGCGACCTGCAGTTTCGTTGTGATGTGCGTTTTGAGTATCCATCTGTTGTCCGTTCTTATTGCCAGGTGTTCTGTCCATTGCCATTTGAGGGATTTGAATCTGTTGATGACATCTATTACCTGGGTCTTTTGTCGTTATCCACTCTATTCTTTTACGGTCTCTCTTGGTTATTCTCGGCATATTTTGTTCCATTGAGCATTGTTTCCTTATGATGTCCCTGTTAAGTTTCCAGGTTTCACATGCATAGGTCATGACTGGTATTACACATTGGTCGAATGTTTTCTTCTTTGCATAAAGTGGTATTCTAGATTTAAATATGATTGAGTTTCTTCCAAATATACTCCATGCTAACTTAATTCTTCTGTTGATTTGTGGTAGTAGAGATCCCGAGCTGGGTAATAGTTGTCCAAAAAGGTATATTCTTCTAATATTTCCAGTTTTTTGTTATTTATGAGAATGTCTTTTCTTTCCACTAGTTCATTGTACATTACTTTAGTTTTTGCTACATTCTTTTTCAGACCCACTTTATTGCTGGCTGGATTTAGTTCATTAATTTTTGCTTGTAGTTATTCAGGACTATTGGCAATTAAAACTATGTCATCAGCGAATCTTAGATGGTTAAGATATTCTTCATCTATTTTTAATCATTTTTTGGTCCAATACAGTTGACGGAAGGTTTCTTCTAAGGTTGCTGTATACTTTTTTTATTTTCAATTCAATTCATTGTTGTCAAGCATGGACATATTTGGCGCCGGGCTGGCTAACTGGAATTTAAATTTGATGCTGGGGATTTAGGTAGTAGCTCTGCTGTAAAAAATGTCAAGTTGCCACATTTATTTAATTATTTCCTGACATTGCCATTCGTTTTGACACTTTAGTTTTATAAGTTTGTGGTTTAAATAAATAGTGTTATGATACTTTATGCTTAAAAATGTTTACTAGCAGACCTTGCAGTCGAATATTATTCTTTTTAGAACCTCTTTTAGTGCGAAGTGTACAAGATAGCTTAATAGCCGTAAAAAACTCATCGCAACTTCATTAAAATATTTTCAACGGGAAAGCGGTTGTAATGGCTCTTTATGTCCCTTAAGTGCCGTTAAGAAGGTGAATTATGTTGATGTAATAATGATAATAACTGTTTATTTGTTTATAATTAATTTATTTTTGTTTCTTAAATATTTTGCTTTAAAGGAAATATGTAAAAGTGGGCAATGCTATGCCGGTCAAGCTTAATCACGTGACTAATAGTTTATTTAATATGAACTTTAGTTATTTATGCTTTGATGACGCAGATACGGTAATTTTAAACCAATTTAAAGTTTTTATCATGCACGGTGCATTAACGTTCTATATTTAAACATTTTTTTTATTTAAACCACTATCCAAACACATTAATGAAATAGAAATGACATAAGGTTTAGTTTCCATTATTAAAAGTCCAACCCGCTAGGAGATAAATGATGTTTGTCGTGAAATTGACTAAAAAGTCATTAGCACACATTTTTTAATACAAATGTATATATCATATACATGCCCGTCCTGTTTAAAAGCGTTAAATATATAGTCTGTCCAACGACAAAATCCTTGACAGTGATAAATGTGCCTGTCATTTTAATTTCAAAATAGTTTATTTTATTTTACAAAGAAATAAGTTGGCACAATTGGAACGCTGGAATATAATCGAGTTATTTTATTAACTTACTGAATTTTATACCTTAAAAGTTGGTTAATTAACTTTAATCTTATTTTGTTTTAAATTAGTACCTTTTGACATTATTTCTATGCAGTACTAAAATTTATTATTAACGGTAACATAAACGAGATGGTATACGAACTTTATTTGTGGCTAATACAACTCTCTGGCAAACTATATCTTTGGGTACAGATTATTAACAACTGTAAACTATAGTCTGGATCAACACTTAATTTTCTCTCGAGTTTTCCTCCACTTAATTTAAAAAAAAACTCGAAACATACGTAATAACACAGTTCAAAATGCAAAATATTTATCATTTCTATTTGAACTAATTTGACACAAACTTATAACCTACAATTTGGAAAAAGTTTGACAACTCTCAAAAATCTTAATTCGAATTCACAGGCATCGGCGTCCGTTTGTCGTTGATCGTTCCGTCAAAACAATAATATTGAAATATGATCTGTCATTTTTAAAATAAACCAGTAAAATTGGTTAAAAACTAGAGACAACGCCATGACGGTTTTATATACTAAGGGTCGGTATTTTCGGCCTTGGGTGCCGGTTTTCTTGTGAACGAAAAGTACGGCAACACGCTTAATATAATAAGATAGTACTGAATACAGAACTGAAGACAGAAGGCGAGTATTTTCCCAAGCGCATGGAATCTAGCGTCAGATTAAGTAATTATGTAATAAATACTTCGTATTTTTGCTCACTCCGACTTACTAGATTGCCATAAC